CTCCGGAGTGTCCGAGGAGGAGGGTGTGCAGGATGAGCTGCRTTTCCGCACCCGCTCCGCCGCCCCTGCAGAAATCCGTGGCCGTGCTGAGACCGGGCGCTCTCGCTACACAAGTGGCGGCAGCAGGCGCTTCGGGGCCGCGTTTTCCCGCTACCACCATGCAGGCTCCGCGGCACTGCTGCGCGAGGAGGGAGCCCTTGTCCGTCCATCCGTCCATCCGTCCGTCTGTCCCGGGGCGGACACCTGCCYGGAGGGGGGGCCGGGGCCCCGCGGCGGGGCCAGTCGCTGCCGTGAACGGCTGCGGATAAACAAGGGCGCCCGCGGGGAGGACAAACGGCCGCTGTGTTCCGTGTCCCCCCCTGCGTCCCCGGCTGGCGGTGCCCAAGCGAGCGCGCGCATGGAGCGCACCCGGGCGCGCGCCCGACCGCCGCCACCGGCGCTTGCTCCGGTGGAAATCACGGCTACGCAGGGAGAAAGGCTGGAAAGGGAGCAGGGAGCGGCGCCAGGGCCTGTCCTCCCGCCCGCACCAGCCGTGCATCAGCAGGAAGGCGCCGGTGACAGCTCACCGCGCATTCCCGCTGGGAATCACTTTCTCCACGCTGGCAAATCTCCCCTTCCCAAATGCTGTAGGGCCCCGTCGCGCCGCCCCCGAGGACGCGGCTATTTGGGCCCCGGTGCCGCAGGGCTCGGGGCAGCTCGCGGCCAGAGGAGGGCCGTGCGGGGCCGGCGCGCTCCCGGCACGCTCCATCCCATGACTCCGGCCCTGACACTTTTCCGGTCACTTCAAGGCAGGCGGGGGCTGAGCGCCTTGGAGATAAGCGTGAGCGCGGGCCAGGGGCCCGGCGTGGGGACGGTGACTCAGCCCGGCCACCTCAGAGCCAGCTCATCCCGCTGCAGCTCGCACACGTGTGCGGGAGAGGGGGTTTGCAAACCGCTCTGGATCCCAGGGGATCATGCACCGCTTCCCAGTTCGGGTGACATGTGCTTTGCAAGGAAACGGGTTGCATCCCAGCACCTCCCCAGTCACCACCCGTTGCCTCCCAACAAAGGGAAGTTGAGTAGGAAAAGCTCCCAAAGTGAGTGCCGTGGCTGGCTGCAGCGTGCAACGCGGCTCTTGCAGTGCACAATGTGGCTTGTTGCAGGGTGCAGCGTGGCTCATTGCAGCATGCAACATGGCTCATTGCAGCGTGAAACATGGCTCGTTGCAGGGTGCATTGTGGCTCATTGCAGTGTGCATTGTGGCTCGTTGCAGCATGCAACATGGCTTGTTGCAGGGTGCAATGTGGTTCATTGCAGTGTGCAATGTGGCTCGTTGCAGCATGCAACATGGCTTGTTGCAGGGTGCAGCGTGGCTCGTTGCAGCATGCAACATGGCTTGTTGTAGGGTGCAATGTGGTTCATTGCACTGTGCAATGTGGCTCATTGCAGCATGCACCATGGCTTGTTGCAGGGTGCAGCGCGGGTCATTGCAGCATGCAACATGGCTCATTGCAGGGTGCATTGTGGCTCGTTGCAGTGTGAATTGTGGCTCGTTGCAGCATGCAACATGGCTTGTTGCAGGGTGCAATGCAGCTCATTGCAGTGTGCATTGTGGCTCGTTGCAGAGTGCATTGTGGCTCATTGCAAGCGCCAGTAGCTTTTCTGTCCCCTTCAGGTGACAACACATCCCCAAGTTATCCTGAGACGCCCCAGTCCCACCCTCTGGAGCGGGGATCCCCACGCGGGGCGAGCGGTGCAGGCCCCGGCATGTGTGCGGATCCCTTCCTGCACAGCCGTGCTCGGAAYCGGTGTGCACATTGTGCAGGAGTGTGGGAAAGGGTCTGCTCGTGCCCTGCCAGGCACGAAGAGGGGTGGATGCACACATGGATCTGCCTGGGAACACACGGATCCGCTCAGGTGCTCCTAGGCCCAGGGATCCACATGCCTGCCCAGTACCACCAGTACCCGAAGCAGCCACCGCAGGAGCACCCTGGGTTTGCAGATCAGCTGCARGCTCTGGGTGCGTGAGCCCCCACGTACCGGCTCCGCTCCGACACTCCATGCCACAGGAATGTCGCTCCAAGGCACTCGTGCCGCAGCGGATTGCAAAGCGCGGGCTTTTGCAGAGGCCGGTTCCTGGCAGGAGCAGCGCTTTGGCCGTGAGGAATGGGGCACGTGCTGCCGAGGGGAGGGATTGTGGAGCCATGCGAGGTGCGCAGGCTCGTGTGCGTATTTATTTGTGCACAAATGCGCAGCCGTCTGTGCATGGAGCAGGCGCTGGCGTCGCACGCACGGTCCCGGTTGCATGCTCGCTGCTGCCTCCRTGCACGCGGGTGTCGTGCGTGCTGTGCACGGGCTGCAAAGCCAGCCCGAGTGAGCTGGGTCCAACCGAACCCAGCGGTGCCCATCGATCCGAGTGGGCTAAGCTGATAGATCCAGACTGAGCCAGCCCCATCCGAACCGGGCTGCTTGATCCCCACTTGAACTGGGCTGACCTGGGCTGAACTGAGCTGAGTCAAACTCAGGCCAATAGACCCGAGTGGAGTCAAGCCATGCCGATGTGGTCTAAACTGAGCCCATCTGATCCGATCCAAGCTGATGTGATCTGAGCTGAACTCAGTCCAACCAATGCAGTCCAAGCTCTGCCTTGACCGTCCAAGTCGCTCCGATGCAAGCCATGCTGAGCTGATCCGCTCAAATCCACACCGAGCTAATCCCATCTGAGTCAGGCTGATCCGAGCCGAGCCGAACCGAGCTGAGCCAAGCAGACTGTGCAGCACCCAGCTGAGCCGAACCGATCTGATCCAACTGGAGCTGAGTCAAGCTGATCCGATTGGAGCCAAGCCAAACCAAGCAGATCTGAGCTGATCCAATGCAGTTGGAGCTGCATTGACCCAATCCAGTCAGAGCCGATCGGAGCTGGGCTGAACCGAGCTGATCCGAGTCAATCCAATCTGTTCGGAGCAGGGTGGAGCGGAGCCAACTGATCTCATGCAAGTCGAGCAAACTCAGTCAGAGCTGTATTAAGCTGAGCTGACCCAATCCAGCCAGTTGATCGGAACCGCGTCTGAGCTGATCCGGATTGATCCAATGCGGTCAGAGCCAAACCAATCCAAGCCGAGCTGACCAAAGCCGAGCCAAATCAGACTGATTGGATGTGACATGAGGYGAACAGAGCTGATGGGAGCCAAGCCGAACTGAGCTGATCCGACTTGGTTGGAGCTGAGCTGATCCAATCCGAGATGAGTGGATCGGAGCTGAACCAAACCAGGCTGATTGGAGCCGACCCAGTCTGAGCCGATCTGATTGCAGCCCAATGGAGTCGAGCTGATTGGATCCAGTCCGATTGGAGCGTAGCAGATCCAATCGGATCTGATCGGAGCCAACCCAGTCTGGGTAGATCGGAGCTGATTGGAGCTGAGCTGACCCAGTCGATGCGATCGAAGCCGATTGGATTCGATCCAATCAGAGCCGATCTGATCCGTTGGGAGCCGAGGGGCAGCCGAGCCGACCTGAGCCGATCCGATTGGATCCGAACCGATCGGGGCCGAGCCCACGAGATGCAGAACCGAGCCGAGGCGCGGGGAGCGGAGCCGAAGGGGGCCGAGCGGGGCCGGGCCGGGCCGGGCGGCGGGGCTGGCCGCCCGCCAGCGCTTTCTCATAAACCACATGGGCGGCAGCCGCTATAAAGAGCAGCGCGGCGGCGGCGGCGGCTGCAGCCCGGCCCGGCCCGGCCCCGCTCCGCTCCCCGCTCCGCTCCCCGCTCCGCTCCCCGCTCCGCTCCGCTCCCCCGGCAGCCCCGGCCGTCCCCATGCGCCGCCTCGGAGCCCAGGTACTGCCGGCACCGGGGACAGCACCGGGACCAGCCCCCTTTCCCCCCACCCTGCGTCGCCACCCTCTTGTTGAGGGGGGCACCGGGCATCCCGTGCGGGGGGCGCTCGGTTTTGGGGAGGGYAGCTGGGGTTACGGAGGGCAGGTTCCTTATGGGGGGGCAGCTGGTATTGGGGGGGTGACAGGTACCCTGCAGGGGTGGGGGGAGTGCTGAGCACGGAGGGGGTGCACCCGGTGTGGGGGGCGGGGTGGGTGCTGTGCATCGGGGGTTGCACCCACTATGGGGGACACCCTGTATTGGATGGGGGGTCAGGCCTGAGCATGAGGAGACATTGGCATAGGGACATCTAGTTTTGGGGGGTCAGGCCTCTAGCATTTGGGGGGACACTGAGCGTGGGGAGGGGCTGCACCCAGGATGGGGATGCACCCAGTACTGGGGTGCACCCAGCCCCCATGCACGGGGAGGCCACTCTGCATAGATGCCCCCAACATGCGCATGCAGCGGGCAGCTTATGGGGCATGCAGCACGGGGTCGGGGGGGACGTCACAGCCCCGCGCCCCATTGCCCCCCACGCGGCCCGCGTGCCCGTCCGCGGGTGCCGGCGCAGCGGGTGAGGCTGCAGCGAGCCGTGGCCGCGGCTCCGCGGGGCCCGGCCGGCATCTGCTCTTTCACAAGAGAGAATTCCTGGGCTCCCTCCAAGGGAAATTCCCCCCGCCCAGCACCCGCAGACACTCTCTCGCTGCCGGACACGGGGGTTACCCTGCCCCGGGGCTCTGCCCCGCGCGCCGCCTCYGTGTCCTTTGGCTCGGAGCCGGCTGGGATTTGGGTGCTCTGGCAGCACCGGCGCTTCCAAGGGCTTTGGAATGATGCCAGCACTGGGGAATGGAAAGAGCCCTGCGGGGATGGCGTGCTGAGGCCAGGGTCCAGCAGAGAGCGGGAGCATCCGGGTGGGCTCAATATGTCCCATGGCTTCCAGGAGCTGCGGAAAAGGAGGAAAAATAGCATGAGAGACAGGATTGGCACAGGAGAAGTCCAAGGAAGGGCTGGCMTGGGGAAAACAGAGGCATCCCTGGGACTTGGTCCCTGCAAAAGTCATGTCCAGGCTTGTGCTCAGCTTGGCAAACGCCCGCTGTCCCGGCATCCCGGAGAAGCCCTGCTCGGGCGCGGGGTGCTCGCGGGCAGCGCACGGATGCTCTGCCCTGCTGCCCTGCAGGTGTCCCTGCTCTCKGCCGCCCTCCTGCTCCTGTGCTGCGGCATCCCGGAGACGGAGCAGAACAGCTACTGCCAGCAGATCATCACGCCCGACCACCTGGCCCAGCTGCAGGAGCTGGTGAGCGCCCGGCTCCCAGCACCCATGGGTGCGCCAGGCACCTGGGCGCTTTGGGAATGTTGGTGGGGAGAGAAAGCACSGCGGAGGGAAAGTGCCGGGTGGCCGAGTGTGAGAAATGAGGCGATGGGCATCAGCAAGGAGGGACGGGTGCATGGAGGGGAGGACCGATGGGCTTCAGCAGCGCAGGGGTTAATGGCGAGGAATCCGGCTGCATTCCTGAGTCCAGCTGCTTGCCTGGAAGCTGGGCTGGCAAAGGGAATGGGATGGAGGGCGGGCGAGTGGGGAGGGCTGGGGCCGCCGGGGCCGCTGAGGCCGTGGCCACCGGAGCCAGCAGGGCTGGGGCCACCAGCGCCTTGGCACCCGGAGCGGCGGCTGGAGCAGCGCTCGGCTCCCGCGGCGCCTGCGATGCCGGCTCGTGGCGCTGATGCTGCAGGGAGGAAGCGAAACTGAGAGATGCAGAGGGGTTTTATCGCTGGTTATTCGCTTTTGCGGCCACCCACGTACGGCCGACGGAGCCCAGCTACTTTGCATCCTTGCCGCTCGCTCGCACCGGGGCCTGGCGGGCGCCGCGCTGGCCGCGCCACTGCCGGGGGTGGTTTTTCCCGCAAACGCGGCCTCCTCGCACCCTTCTCTGCGACGCCGTGCGGGTGCCCGTTGCCCCGGGGGCGTTATCGGAGCGCCGCAGGTTCGCGCAGAAGCTGCGGTTTCGCCGCCGGAGATTGCAGCGCCGGGCGCAGGGGCGTCCGCGGGGGAACCGGCCCGCGCCGCGGCCCYGCCGGATAATGGAGCGATTGTTTCCGAGCGGCTGCGCTCCTGGCAGCCGGAGCGCTCCCGCCTTGGGATGCAGCCCTGGAGTGGCGCTCCGGGCCTGACAGCACAGTGGTTTTTTTTGGGGAAGGGAGGAGATYAGGCATTTCCAGGGGGGTTCCCCCTGTTTTCTGCTATCGGAAACGGTTGCAGCCGCCGTGCCTGGTGTTGCACAAAGCGCCACGGCGCTGCCCAGGCTTGCACGACCCTTTTGCCTCGTGCGCGGTGGCTGGGAAAGCAGCTCTGCTCTCGGCAAGCCCGGGCGCGGCCGTTGGGATGGGAGGAAGGCGATAACCGGCCTGCGGAGCAGGGGCTGCCGCGGGTTTAGGGCACACTGGTGACATCCCGCTGTGCTCTTTCAGGCTGACACACAGATGCTGCACCCGGGCAGGGTCTCCTTCACCTTCATCCATAAGGAGCAACTGGTGAGTGGCTCCTTTCCGTGCACCAGGGGGTTCCTGGGGGCTTTGGGACACCCCCCTCGGGGTGCATCGCTCCTCATGTCCCTTTGGGCGACAATGCTGTGTCTGCCTTTGCAGAATGATTCCATCTGCTACGTGAAAGCCGCCTTTCCCTTGCTGGGGGAGCTGCTGGGCCGGACGGTGTTCAAGGAGAACTCGTCCAACGCCAGGAGGCTGCAGGTGGTGCAGCGCATGTACAGCCGCATCGACGAGAATGTGGACCCCTGCATCCGCGAGGAGGACGACGAGGAGAGAGAGGTGCGCCCGGCCGCCTTCCCGGGGCCCTCCGCACCCCCAAACCCCACTGCTGCGGGCGGATGTTGCATGCAGAAGGTGTCACATGCAGATCTGATTTTGCATGCAAATGTTGCACGCAGCTTGTGCATGCAAATGCTGCACGCAACGCCTTTTGCGTGAAGGTGTCACGTGCAGACGTCACGTGCAAATGGTGTGTGCAGCAGGGGTTGCGTGCGGGAGTCACGTGCACATGTGTGCAGAATGAGTTGTGTGCAGGTGTTGCATGCAGAAGGCGCTGCATGCAAATGCCWTATGCAGATGTTGCACGAAGAAGCAGTTGTGTGCATGCAGATGTGACAGGACGCGCAGATGCATTGTGCAGATGTTGYGTGCAGGTGGTGTCACATGCAGATGTGTGCAGATGTTGCACGCAGGAGCCGTTGCATGCACAGTGTCACGKGCAGATGTTGCCTGCAGAAAGGGGTAGCGTACAGATGCGTGCAGATGTTGCAYGCAGAAGGGGGCCGAGGCCGCTGACCCCCCGGCTCCCCCGCAGCTCTCGCAGAACTGCCTGGCCGAGTTCAGCACATCACCCTACGAGATGCTGGTGCTGGTGAAGCGCTTCTTCGAGGAGCTCGCCGTGCTGCTGCAGCGCCAAGAGACCTTCGCCAAGGACTGCAGCCACGTGTACCGCGCGCGGTGCCCGTCGCCCCGGCGTCCCACCGCCTCGGCACCGGGTAAGGGGCTGCTTCCCGCCCGCGCGTCTCCGGCCACTGGTCGGAGCCGGCACGGCCCGTGTCCATGTGGCTCCCTGTCCTGAGGCTGCTGGCTGCCTAAGCTGTGTCTGTGCATGTCCCCGTGTGTCTCCATGCGGGTTTGGCAGTCTGGAGAAGGGGCTGAACATCCCAGAAAAGCCCTTTGGAAGATCAGGATTGAGGCTGCAGCTGGCTGAGGCGGGAAACCCAGCTGGAATAAGCCTAGGAAGGGAATGTGGAGGCCATTCCGTGTGCCCGACTTAGCGGAGTCACTCTGGCACCCATTGCTGCATGTGCGGGTCCAAGGTCCTGGCCTCAGTTCCCCATCTGGCTGCACGGAGCCAAAGGCTGGAGAGTCTCCGTGGGGCGAGCTTGTGGTCCGGAAGAGCCCATGCTGCTGCCTGCGCTTCCGTGCGCTCCGTCTGCACGCCGGATCCGTGGGCGGTCGGAGGCGCCATCCCTTCCACATCCCGGCTCCTGCCAGCCATGCCGAGCTTGGATCAGCCCTTGCCAGCGGCTTGGACACCGTTTGCCCTGCATCCATCCCCCCTCTCCGCTTGCTCCCGCTTGCTTCCAGCGGCTCTGCAGGGCCCCGGGCGGCCGCTCACGCCGCGACCTCTTCTCTCCTCTTCTTGCAGGTGTGGGGACAGATGCCGCTGGCCATGAGCTGTCCCCTGCCCTCCCTCCYGCCACGCAGCACTCCCTCTCTGCTTCTAGCGCCCCGGTGCCTTCTGGCCACCCCCACGGTGCCCTGGCTTGGCCACCCGCCACCGCCGCCGACGGGGGCTCGGGGACCGAGGAGGAACTGGGCGCCTGGCTCGGGGCGCCCGCGTCGCCCAGTCCTGCCATGCAAGCGCCGGCCGCGCTCCCAGATGCTCCTGGCACGGCCGGCCTGGTGGCGGGGGACATCTCGGCACCGCCCGGGGGCGTGGGGCTGGCGCAGAGGGCTCCCCAAGCGGGCACGGCGGCACCGGAGCCCCCGGAGCGCCACGGAGCCTCCGTCCTGCTGCCGGAGGAGGCTCCCGGCGAGGCCAGCGGAGCCGGGCAGCCTGTGGGGCAGGCGCCACAGCCAGTGGCGCGGCTCCGCGTGCCGCGGCCGCCGGCAGCTCCGGAGCGGCACGCCGGCGCCTGGGGCCCGAGCGGCCCGCGCGAGCGCCACGCCGGCGGCCCCAGCGCTCACTCCCGCTTTGTCCCGAGCGCAGAGCAGCGCCGCAAGGAGCCGCGAGCCGCCGCGAGCCGCCGCGCGCCCCTGCTCGCCAGCGCCGTGGCCAGCGCCGTGGCTGTGCTGCTCGCCGTGGGCGGGCTGCTCTTCTACAAGCGCAGGGTGAGGACCGCGACCCTCGCCCGTGGCCTCGCGCCTGCTGGCTCCCCGGCCCCAGCTTCCTCATGGGGTGGCACCACGCATTGGGGGGTCCTATTAGTTCCTATTAGTTCCTATTAGTTCCTATTTGTTCCTATTAGTTCCTATTAGCCCCCCTCGGGCTGGGGGGCTGGAGCCGTCCCTGCAGCTCATCCCTCTTTTCCTTCTTTCTCCCCGCACCAGATCCTGCGGCGGCGGCCACAGCAGAGTGAGCAGGACCCGGAGGAGCCGGAGCGCCGGTGGGTTTGCTCGGGCAGGGGGAGCAGGAGGGATCCCCGCGCCCGCCGCCGTCCATCACATCCCTTCTCCCTCCTTACCCCGTCCTTGCTTTGCATCCAGGGTGCTGCGGGGGGGCCACGCTGAGCTGGACATGCAGGAGCTATGAGGTGAGCACCCCAACCTCAAGAAATCCCCTCCCCAACTCCTGCTGCCCCTGGGGTCCCCCGCACCCCTCTGCCCATATTCCCGCCCATAGCGGGAATCCTGTCACCGGGACTTGTTTTCCCATGGGAACATCCGCGGGAGGCCCCTGCCGCCTTCTCTGACCGCATCCTAACCTCCCTGCTCTCGTTTCCACCCCTCCAGGGTCCGAGAGGGGCCGCGATGCTGCTCGGGGACCCCCGAGCCGGTGCCGCCGGGCCGGTGACGGCGGCGGGCGAGGACAGATGGCCGGAGCCAGGGGCCGGGACATGCGGATGCGCCCGCCGCCCCCCCGGCCYGGCTCGTCCCCCCCCCGTCCCCGGGTGACGTTTTTTAGGGGGGGCACACGCACACTGTGAATATTTAAAGCCCCGCATTGGCGGTGTCTGGAGGTCCGTCCGTCCCCCGGGCGCCCGAGCTGGTCTCGGGCTGTGCCTTGGTGCCTTGGCTCCCTATTCCCGGCGTTCCCCCGAGCTCCGTGCGGGAAGAGCCCCGTGGCGGGGATGCTCTAGGGGGAATGAATGAATGAATGAATGAATGAATGCTTCCCCCCTGCCCAGCCCCTGAATGTGAAGTTTGGCCCCTGCTGCTCCGGGGGATCGAAAGTATTATTTTTCTACAACGGGGAAACTACGCAGATGGACCAAATATGTTGGGTTTTGCAGTTCTTTTTTTTTTTTAAAGAAAGCGTTAGTATTAATTTTTATACACGTATTTATGGCTGCCCAAACGGGGATCGTGGAGGGGGACGGATCACAAGCACAGGAGCCTCCCGCGTCCCTGGGGATGGGTTAAACCTCGCCTGCAACCTGTGTCAGATGCGTTTCTGCCTTGTGGGTTTTTTTGCCTTTTTTTTTTTTTTTCTTTTATACATGGAGAGGTCAAATTATTTTATATAAAGTCATTAAAAAAAAAGTCTATTTAAAAAAATAAACAGAAAGCGGCTTGTATATTTAATATTAATAATAAAAGTGGACGTGTAGCACTTTGTAACAGAGGGAGCTGGTTTTGTGTGTGTGTCGGGGGGCGGTCTGTCCTCCCTGTCCCCTGGGTTGGGGACATGGGACAAGGAGCCCTGTGGCGGGCGGCTCCGTGCGCTTCCTGGGGCCGTTCCCGCTTGGAGAGGCAGAGGCTGAGGAGCTGTTTCCGCTGGGCAAGCGGAGGCCAAATCCCTTTTTTTTCCGGCGCCGTCTTCCTCTCCGGCTGCCGGGCTGCGGCGCCGGGGGCTCCGGGGGCTCCGGGCAGGATGCAGCCCGCGCGAGGCCGCGGTTGCTGACACCGGGATTCCTCGAGGAACGTTTCCCGCCGCCTCCGGCGCCCGCTGACTCAGCCGGGCCCTTCCTCTCCCCCACGGGGGCTTTCCCAGCTCCTCTTCCCAGGGAAGTGGGACCTATATATATATGTATTCCCTGGCACTTATGGTCGCGGTGGGGATGATGAGGGGTCGGTGCCTGGCACCACTCGGTCGGGGTGGGCAGCGCTGGCAGCACAGCGGCTTTCCTGGCAATCGGGAGCGGGTGTTAACTCTGGAGAGGAATGATGGTGGGATGCAAGCGTGGCTGAGCTCCTCRGTAGAGCACAGAGGAAGGGGAGCAGGCAGCAGAGCGGCTTTTTGTGCTACCTGGAGAAGGTGTTAACTCCGGGGTGGAATGATGGCAGGACATCCTTGGGATGACAGCAGCAGGCACGATTACCTCTCTGAATTTAACTCCCCCAAGCTCTTATCCCCTGATGCCTCTGCTTGCTTGGAGCAGCCCAGACCTGCAGGAGTTTTGCCATGGTGGGGGGTAGGAGAAGGTCATTAACACYGCAGCTAATTAGCGCTGCTCTGCAGCCCAGGAGGGCAGCTTGGGGCCCAAACTCCTGGGTATTGGGCAGCACCATGGGGGTCCAGCTGCCCCWTCCTCCCCGGCACCAAGGGCCACAGACGCCCCCAGGCCACCCCAGTCCTGCTGACACGGGTGCTGCTCCGCTGCCTGCAGCGGGAGGGGAAAAAAAAAAAAAGCCTGGAATGACTCTGGGAAAAGCTGCTCCGGCTGTGCCGCAAACAGAGACTGCTGACGGGGCAGAGCAGCCCAGAACGGGGCCCGCGGCCGGCGCAGCCCGACCCGTCCCGGATCGCTGGTGGCTTCGCTGTCCATCCCCCTCCGGGAGCTGCTTGGTGCCACCGCGGAGGGGTCGGGTTCCGGCCACCGGCCCAGCCCAGGGGTGTTTTGCTTGGCGGCCGCAGTGATTTGGGTTGAAAAATGTTATCTGCAATCCTCCCCTGTGGYGGCATTTTCACCAAAAATGCGACTGTTTTCCCCATTTTGCAACCATGCGGGAGCCTTGGGTTCCCAAAGGCAACACACAAGGGCATGGAGGACATGGAGCTCCTATAGATAAGGGAATAAAGGGTAAAGAGAGCAGTGATGCACCGAGCCCTGGATCTTTGCAGGATTAAGCCAAGCCCTCGGAGCACATTCCTGCTCCAGGTGCTTGTGGGCTGGATGCTCTCCCACCGCTGGATACAGGTTGCACATGCATGGTGCTGGGGGGGTGCAGGCCACCATTGCCACCATGCAGGGGTGTGTGCGTGTGCATGTTGCTGCATGCATCAGCTGCGCACGCATGCAAGCGGCGGGTGCGCGCTTCTGCCGCATGCTCTTGCACGCCTGTGCACACAGTGTTGCACGCATTGGTGCTGCGCGCACGCTGTGCACRTGCAATGCATGCACGCTGTGCATGCATTGGTGCTGTGGCTGTGCACGTGCGTGCTCGCTGGCCGCCTCGCTGCCTGCCGCCATTCCTGCATTCCCATCCGCTCTTCCCGGTTTCTTTCCAGTTTTTCCCCCGCGTTTATCCCGCCCCGCTACCCAAGAAGCTCCCACCGCCACCGTCAGGGGGCACCAGGGCGCCGCTGCCCGGCGCGCCGCGCGGCTTCACTGCCAGGCCGCTGCGCGCTGACGTCAGCGCGTGACGCAGCGGCGGCGCGTGGCTCCGCCCCTGGCGCCCGGCGCGGCGGCCGCAGTCCGCGCCGCAGAGGGTCGGAGCCGGCGGCGCCCGCGCGGAGCGGAGCGGAGCGGAGCGGGCGGAACCGAGCGCAGCCCGTGGTGCCGCTCGCGGGCCCGGCCCGCCCCGCCGCAGCACCATGGCGGTCCCGGACTCGGCCGGCGGCGACGAGGTGAAGCAGGCCAAGGAGATGGAGGACGCCGAGAAGTTCTCCTTCATGGCCACCGTGACCAAGGCGCCCAAGAAGGTACCGCCCGGTTCGGGCCCGGTACCGGGGCCGGCTCGGCGGGCGGGAGGCAGCGCCGGCCCTGCCCCCGCTCTGGCAGGAGCGGCCCGGGCCTTCCCGAGCGGAGCCGGGCCCGGTGGCGGAGCGGGGCCGCCCCGGGGGCAGAGCCAGCCCTGGGGGGCCGTTTGGGCCGGGGGCTGCCCGTGGCGGGGGGGCGCTGGGCCCCGTGGTGCCGCTTGGCCGAAGCGGGGGTACCGCGCGGCCCGGCGTCCTGGGCACCCCCGGGGAACCGGGCCGAGCCGCTGGCCCGGCCCACGGCACCTGCCCAGGGCACCGGCGGGGCGCAGCGGGCGGCCAGCGGGCGCGGGGCGATGGGGCCGGGCAGGGAGCGCGGCCGGCCGGGGGGCACCCCCAGGTCACCCCCACCCTGCCCTCCCCGAGGGCCTGCCCCGGAACCGCCCCGAGCCCCGCGGTGCCTCCCGCCCAGCGCCGCGGTCCCGCTGGCACCAGTGGTCCCGGCGCTGCCGGCAGGGCAGCCCCTGCGGAAAGGCCGCCGGCATTGCTGCCTTTGGGACGTCTCCCACCGTCCCGGCTCCCGCTGTGCAGCCGGGGCCCCGCTGCACCTCGCGTGTGTTTATCCGYGCTGCGGACGTAGCCCGGAGCGAGGAGCGCAGGAATGCGGAGCTGGGAGCTGCCGCTTCCCAGCCAGGCACGGCGCAGACTCGGAGCATTTATTTTTCTTTTCCTCTTCGCTGTCAGCAGCTTCCACGAGAGCCACCGGCGCGAAGCCGTGCGGATGCGGCCGGCCAGCCGATCGGAGCGGGAAGAAGAGCTCCGAATGCCGACGCGTATCCCACGTAGGGCGCAAACACAAGGAGCACRCGGGAACATGAGGGTCGGGGCTGCSTCGGGGCTGGTTTTGGAGCCGCCGTGACGCTCCGGAGCTGCCGCAGCCCTTCCCAGCTGCGCGATGCTGCTCAAGGTGCCCGGAGCTACGCGAGGCATTTGAGGCCGATAACATCAGCAGGGAGCGCGCGATGCAGCCCAGGGCAAGGAACAAAGCGCGCCGGGCCGCGCTTCTCCTTGCCTGGCTGGCTACGGTGAATAGCGCCGGAACGGCCCTCGTGGGAGAAGCTGGCCCTGGCTCGAGGTGTTTTCATGCATCTTTGGAATCGGGATTGCAGGGAAACCATTAACATGCTTTTTCCCCCTGTTGCAGCGTGAGTCCGAGCGACTTGCGCACAGCCCGGCGGGGGTTTTTGGCTCCTCGAGCTTGGGTGACACGGTTTGCGTCAGGAGCTGGAGCCGAGGGAAGCGTCCCCGAGGTTGGGGACGTCCTGAGCTCCTTTCTGTGCCCAAGAGCTTTGCAAGGAGCCTGCGGTCATGCCAGGTGCCAGAGTTGCCCATGGGCAGCCCATGTTCAGCACCATGGGATGYGCTTCCCGTGGGGCCGAGCCCAGCTCGGCCACGGAGAGGTTCCCGCGCGTAGCTGACAGACACGGTGTTGTCCTCGGAAGGGGAGGCCGGGATCCCGGCTCCCGGAGCGATCCCGCGCGCTGCGTCACCGCCCGCGGCGGGGGAATCCTCGGCTTGGTTATTTCCCTCCTCGGCGCTGGCTCGGTTAAGGTGAAAGAGTGAAGCAGCAGGAGGTGAGAGATTAAGAGATTAACGTGCTCGACTCCGAGTTACGTCGCAGCCAAAGCAGGAGGGGAACGGAGCTGGAGAAGCGCCGAGGCTTCCCTCTCATAGGAGCGAATTTGGGCTCATTTAAGTGGGCAGGAGCTCAAGGGCAGGCCGTGCTCTTCTGCCTCCCCGTGTCCCATCATCTGCACGTCTGCGCATCCGCTCCCCTGTCTYCCGGCAGTCCTGGAGGTGCCCTTGGATTCGGAAAGCAGCCGCTGTGGCGTCAGCGGAGCCGTGGAGCTCCCTGCGGAGCGGGATGCGACGTGACGCTGCGCCGGGAGCCGCTGGGGCCTCGCGCGTCCGTCCCCGGCTGTCGCTTCACCCCG